AAGGAGGGAGGGAGGGAGGGAAGGAAGGAAGGAAGGAAGGAAGGAAGGAAGGAAGGAAGGAAGGAAGGAAGGAAGGAAGGAAGGGGAGACAGAGAGAGGAGGAGGAGAGGAGGGGAGGGATGGGGGACAAAGGGGAGAAGGAAGGGAGGGAGGGAGGAAAGGAGGGAGGGAAGGAGGGTCCAAGGTCATCACAAGAGCCCAGTAATAAAGTCTCAACAATTAACAAAAACTGCTTTTATTCTTGATGTAGCCAAGGTAGTTTGAACTCCTTGAAATCCTACTGCCTCCACCAGAGGTGTAATTAGGTATCCAACAAACCCAACTCAAGCATTCATTTTTTTTCAGAGGTTACTATTTTTAGGGGCTGGAGAGATGGTTCAATAGTTAAGAATGCTGGCTGCTCTTCCAAAGGACCCAGGTTCGGTACTCAGCACCAACATGTTGGTGACTCAACCACACTGCTTGTGCCCATATGGTTTTCTCCAGTGTGCGTTTAATCAGACAAATTCAATAGAAAGCTTTCTTGCATAGTTTGCACAATAGAGGGGGCTTTCTCTGGACATGAACAAATCATTTCATGATGAAGAAACTGTGAGTAGGAACAGTGTGCCTATATTGATTGTGTTCGCTGGGTGGAGATGTTACTTTTCTTGATGCCATGACAAAACACCAGATGAAAACGATTTACATAAATGCTCATTTTATCTCGGTTTTATGGAAAATGGTTTATTTTAGCAAGGAAGGCATGGTGGTGGGCTGGAAGACAAATCCTGGCAGTAGGTTAGTCTTCTCCTGTCTCAATTTTATTCAGTCTGGGCTCCAAGTCATGGGGTATCACAATAAAATCTAAAGTGGGTCTTCCCTCATCATTTCTATTTCTCTGAATGTATCATAAGTGGTTTTGGTAATTATAAATCCAGCTAGGTTGAAAAATTAGCCATCTGCAAGTCTACCTATTGTCAAGTTGATGCCCAGAAGCATCTTTTTTAGTTATACATTCTATCCCTAGCCCTCACAGGTTCATGACCATCTCATAAAACAAAAAAAAAAAAAAATCCATTTCAACTTCAAAAGTCCCCACAGTCTTAGTACTTTAAACACTACTTAATAGATCAAGTTTAAACATTTCCATTCCAAAATGAAGAACTGAAAATATAGTATAAGAAAACTGTGCCAAAAGCAAGGCCAAAACCCAGAGGCAAAATCACCAAATCCTGAAGATCTTTGTCAGCATCTAGGGCTATAGTTGATACCATTGGGACTCCATTAGCCTGTATACACCCACTCCTCCATTTCTGTACTCTGCAGCATCCATAGCACTAGACTGGTTCTACTCCCTGCCCCCTCAGCAGAACAACCATGGTCCTGGCATCTCCTGGAGACACTGCTGTAACACAGGGCTCACCTCCATAGCTTCACAACAATGAAAGGATACATCTCAGGACATCTTTTCATAGATTTGTGCTACACATTACCTTCCTTGCAGGGAATGCACATGGGACACATATCACCTGGCCTTAGTGTACTTGGAGCAAGTCTCCATAACTCAGGTCAGGTCTTGCATTTTGAATTCATGAAGGATGAAGGATGCTGTCAAGTTCTGCTATTGGCTTGAGATGTAGACTGGCCCCCTTCTAGCAGAACTGAAATAGTCTGTGTGCTTTAGTGGTTGAACCAGGAAAGTTGATCCCTAGGCTATTTTGAACAAGAGATCACTTCAGCCTCTCCTTCCAAACCATTTTATATAGTTACAATGGGTGGGCTATGCTCTCAATGTATCCTTCCTATTGTTCAAGTGCAAAGCACATGCTTCATTCTTAGACGAGCAAAGCTTTTAAAACAATAACAGCCCTCTACCACAATGCTTTCCTTTTGTGATACATTAAAATTGCTTATGGTTTTCTCAACAAACTAGATCTCTCTCTCTCTCTCTCTCTCTCTCTCTCTCTCTCTCTCTCTCTCTCTCTCTCTCCTCTCTCCTCTCTCTCTCCCTCTAAACCCAGGTAAGAGTGGTAAGCAATAGCCATGACACACTGAATATTACACTGTCTTTAAATTGCCTTTGTCTAATAAAACATGTCTTTTAACTAAACCTCACTCAAATTCTTTGGACATGGGCAGAATGCAACCAGACTTGTCAAAATGAAATATGCATGGTTTCTCATCTATTTCCCAAGAGAGAGCTCATTCCTTTCTGAAACCTAAGGCGTATTCTTTATTTTCTGAATTTCTGCTGGCATTTTGACCTTCCACACTCCCACCAAAATGGCCCGCTAAACCCTTTATAGCATTCCAGGGCTTCTCTAGTTCACAGATTCACACTCTTTAGTATAGGGGTTTATTCCAGAGTGAATCCGTTCATGCATTTACAAGGAGCTGGACTGCAAAAAGGCTTTCCCACACTGCTTACATCTGTAAGGTTTCTCTCCACTGTGAATCTTTTTGTGGTACCAAAGGGAACTGTGATATGTGAAGGCTTTACCACATTGCCTGCACACATATGGTTTCTCTCCACTATGGACCCTCTCATGGTCCCGAAGGGGACTGTGGAGAGTAAAGGCTTTACCACACTGGTTACATACAAAGGGCTTCACTGTACTGTGTGTCTGCTTATGTCTCTGAACCTGATTCAAAGAAGGGAAAGCTTTCTCACAGTGCCTACAGACACAGGGCTTCTCTCCACTGTGAATCCTTCCATGACATCGAAGGGAACTGGAAAAAGTGAAGGATTTCCCACATGGCTTACACACATATGATTTCTCTCCATTGTGTGTTCTTTCATGGCGTTCAGGAGAACTGAAAAAGTGAACACTTTCCCACACTGCTTACACACACAAGGCTTCTCTCCACTGTGAATCTTTTCATGGTACTCCAGGTAACTCTTTTTAGAGAAGGCTTTCCCACATTGTCTACATACATAGGACTTTATTCCAGTGTGTGCCTGTTCATGCCTCTGAACCTCGCTCAAACATGAAAAGAGTTTCCCACAATGCTTACACGCATAGGATTTCTCCCCACTGTGAATTCGTTCATGTCTTTGTAAGGACCTGCACAGCGTGAAGGCTTTCCCACACTGTTTACATCCATAGGGCTTCTCTCCAGTGTGGGTCCTTTCATGATGATAAAGGGAATTTTGTGTTCTGAAGGCTTTACCACACTGCTTACACACATAGGGTTTCTCTCCTATGTAAGTCCTTTCATGGTGATGAAGGGAATTGTGTGTAGTGAAGTCTTTCACTCATTGTTTACACACATAGGGCTTTTTGTCACTGTGAATCCTCTCATGGCATCTCAAATAATTGGGATGAGTGAAGGCTTTCCCACAATGCCTACAACCGTAGGGCATCTCTCCACTGTGGGTCCTTTCATGATATCGAAGGACACTGTGGACATAAAAAGCTTTACCACACTGCTGACATTCATAGGGCTTCTGTCCACTGTGAATCCACTCATGTCTTTGCAAATATCTGTACAACATGAAAGATTGTCCGCATTGCTTACACTCATAAGGCTTTTCTCCAGTGTGAATCTTCTCATGGCATCGGAGGGAAGTGTGTGTGGTAAAGGCTTTCCCACACTGCTTACATGCATGTGGTTTCACTCCAGTGTGAATCCTTTCGTGACATCTCAAGGAACCTGAACAAGTAGACGTTTTCTCACAGTACCTACAAGCATAGGGTCTCTCTTCATGATGCGTCTTTTCATGGCACTCAAGGGAAGCAGCATTAGGGAATTCTTTCCCACACTGTTTACATACATATCGCTTCTCTCCACTATGAGAACTTGAATGCATAAAGAGTGAAGTGTAATAGGGAAAGTCTTTAGTATATTTCTTACACTTGCCTGGACCATCACCCTTGTGTGCTATCATTTGTCTTTCAACATCTGCATCGTTCCTGAATTCTTTCCTATGCTGTTTGCACACATCTGGTTTCTTCAAAGCAGGGACTGTTTCATGTATCTGGAAGGGATTATCACTAAAAGTTTCCCTACGTTGCTTACTTTCATAAAGTTTCTCTTCAGTCTGAGTTCTTGCATACCTCAGATGGCACTGGGGAAAGCTGGAGCTGTTTCTGCATTCCTTACATTCATACAGTTGCTTGGCATATTCCTGATAGTCATATGATCTGTGACCATTCTGAACTGTGACAGGCACATGGGGATATATCTAGGAACTGTGGGCCCAGTCTGGCCTGGACTGGTTTTGAGTGTGAGTGCAGCAAGGCAAACTGTGTCTTCTGAGTGAAGTTTCAGAACGAATCCCCTACTTCTCATCTTCCACCCATGTATAATTGGGTGTACACAGGATGAAAATAAGACTCACCATGAAAAGAGACAGTTCCTCATGCTGTGTAACCCCCAACTATAAAATTACTTTTATTACTACTTCATAACTGTAATTTTGCTACTGTTATGAAGTATAATGTAAATATCTATCCGCTGGTCAACACCCAGAAGAAGGTCGCAACTCAGAAGCTGAGAACTATTACCATAAAGAAACACTGCCTCAATTAATTAATTCATTACAAATTATTAACAATAGGGGCCAGAATGATGACTTAGTGGTAAAGAATACTGGTTGCTCTTCCAGAGACCCCAGGATCAATTCCCAGAGTCTATATAGCAGCTCACAACCATTTATATCTCCCATTGTAGGAACAGCAATGCCATGTTCTAGCTTCCATGGGCATCAGGCACATAGACATATATTACATATATATCCAGAATATTCATACACATTAAAAGAATAATAATACATTTAACAATTTTTAAAACATTAATAATAAAGATGTGTCTGTGCTACCTTCAAAACCAGGCATCAAAAAGGAGAAAATTACTTAGCATCTGTCTTAAGTTAGAATAAATGTTTTAGAAAAATTTTAATACACCATTATATCTACCTCATTGTCATCCAAAAATGTATTTTCTTGACCATCACTGAAAAATAATTTTCCTTATTTCTTTCTTTTAACATTTTAATCATATATAGGTATGTATGTACGTACATACGTATGTATGCATGTGTATGTATTATATACAGTTTACTTTTATTTCATGTGCATTGATATTTTGTCTGCATGTGTGTCTGGGTGAAGGTGTCAGATCCCCTGGAACTGGAGTTACAGACAGTTGTGAGCTGCCATGTGGGTGCTGCGAATTGAACCCTTTGGAAGAGTAGCTAATGAATGCTCTTAACCACTGAGCAATCTCTCTAGCCTCCAATTTTCCTTATTTTCTAAGGTTTTAATTTCTAGTAGAATTCTGAAGACTGGTCCTAAAACTCCATTCCCTGCCCCCCAAAAGCAGAACATGTGAAGAAATACAAGATACTATGGCAAGTAAAAAGTGAGTAAATTTAAAAAGAAAATGATAATAACATATGCGAGCCGGCAAAGTGGTTCAGTGGGTCTGGGTGCTTGCCTAAGATCAATCCTTGGGGCCCTGAGGCCCACATCATACAACAGCAAACCAGCTCCAGCTAGCTGTCCTCTGACTTCCACATGCACACTGTGGCGTGGGTGCATGCACCACACACACACACACACACACACAGAGACACTCACACACATTTAAATACATAAAAATAATGATATGACCGTACCAAGCTTCCTCTCAATTTGTACCTTTATTTCCATAGATTACTAAGTCTCTCAGATCTCATAGAGAAATCTCTTCATTCAGAGACTATCAGTGAGTGCAGAAGCTCATAGGTGGTCAGGATGCCAAGGGTAAGTGTCTGCGGAGCGCTCAGCCACAAACGGGATGCCTACAGCATATCATTACAACCTGCCTCTGCAGTATGGCTCAGGGATGACCACAAAGGAGAGGCTAAAAGATCCGACCAGAGTAAAACAGTGTCTTCTGGGCATAATGCCGCACCCACAATCTCACAGAAGCTGTGGCTGACTGCACGAGACCTGTCCACGACCAAGGCATCAACATTCCAACACGGAGAGGGGAAGGGCTCACAAGCAGAGCAGTTACTCCTAAATGAGGAGCTGAATGACAGCTGATGACTTCTGGAGTAGAAAGACTTTATTAGGAGGATTTTTTTTGTTGTTTTTGCTATGTGCATTGGTGTTTTGCCATGGGTGTCCGTTCCCCCGGAACTAGAGTTATAAACAGTTGTGAACTGTAGTGTGGGTACTGGGAATTGAACCCAGGTCCTCTGGAAGAGCAGTCAGTGCTCTTAACCCCTGAGTCATCTCTCCAGCTCAGGATTGGTTTTCTTTAAGAATGTACCTCCTAGTAGATCAGCTGCTCTCCATTGATTTGTCCCACATCTATTAGTACAAAGGCAGCATGAATTGGAATCAAACAATTAACTAAAACAAAGAGGACAGATTCGAAGGTGGAAAGTTGGGAGGCATGAGAACAGATCTGGGAGGAGTTATGGGGGAGGTAAGAGTGATGATCCATATACACTATATGCATATAAGACTTTCTCAAAAAATCCATAAAATGTTATATTTAAAATGCAAAAAGGGCGAGGTGCATAATAACAACAGTAAAAATAATTAATGTAATGTAAACTTAGCTATTTAATGTTCCCCTAAAATCTAAGTGTCACTGCCTCTTTGGATGTTATGTTTGAAGTTGTTATGAAAACTGGAGAAGCTAACCAGGCGGTGATGGAGCATGCCTTTAATCCCAGCACTCAGGAGGCAGAGGCAGGTGAATCTGTGTGAGTTTGAGGCCAGCTTGGTCCACAGAGCAAGTTCCATGATAGCCAGAGCTATACAGAGAAGCCCCATTTTGGAAAAAAAAAAAAAAAAACATAAAAGACAGACAGAAAGACAGGAAGGAGAGGAGAGAAGGAAAAGAAGAGAAAAATTGAAGATGCCAGGCATGGTGTTGCACACCTATAATTTCAGCTTTATGTCGGTGAAGGCAGAAGTTGTTACCAGTTCAAAGCCAACCTGAGCTACAGAGAGAGTGAATTCCATGCCAGGACGGCCAGAGAGCAAGATTTTGTCTCAAATAAATAAACAAGTAAATAAATCCAATGAAGAAAGGAAGGTGGGTGAGAAAAAAGGAAAGCACTCGATGGGCCCTTAATGAGGGGAAAAAAAAAAACACTTAATGAGGAAACCTATTAAGCCCTGGTCAGTTTTGGATTAGAAGCAAGGTATGTCTGACTCGAGTTTTGGTGTTTTGTTTATTTGCTAAGAACAAAATTTCATGAATCTCAGACTAATGTTGACCTTCTGATTGTCCCACCTCCACCTCTCCAACCCTGAGATCATAGTAATGAGCCATAGTCTTCAGTTCCAGAAAAAAAGAAAAAAAAAAAAAAAACAGATTGAAACAGCTAGGAAAGTCCATACGAAGAACACGGGGCTGTGGGCAGGAGTCCCTGCCTCACATGTCAAACAACTTCAAGACGATCCTATCTGCTCTGGGCATTCAAGGCAGAGTGTGCCGGAGCCTGGCTCCTTCCCTGCAGATCTCACTTAGAAGTCGATAGTCTCCCTCCACCCTCCGGGCCTCCAAGAGAGAACAGAACAAGGACCCCTTGTAGAGCCCAGCCCCGCTCAGGGTCAGCACCAAGGGTCAGCACCAGACTCGGGGAGGTGGGGCGTAAGGATGCTAGTGTCCTGACTATACTGTCCTTCCAGCCTCTGGCACTCGGCCCAACACCTACCATTTACAGCTCCTGGGTTGTTCCGGGTCCTCCTCAAAGTAACAAGGACCCGAGCAGGTTTCATAGCGTGGCAGAGGATTTGTGCCTGGAGTCTCTGAGCTACACACTGGGTCGGGATTTATGGTGAAGTAAAAAAGGCCCGCACCTCCACTTCAGGCGGGGCTCCTCCTTCTACAGACGCAGGATTGGATGATCTGCACAGCTCCAGCGCCTCTCATTCGCTAGGAATGCAGGAGCCGCCCCTCTGAACCGTGAAAGACAACAGAAAGCCTCATTCAGCTAGCTAGAGTCTGCGCACAAACCAGAGATCATAGCATAGCATCTTAGCGAGCTATTCGACCGACTTTTTCACCTGGTGCATACCTGTCTGAGACTGGGAACTAGCATAATTTTAACAGAACTGGCCCCCGACTCTCCATAGTGGACTCTGATTTCCCTTTCTTTACTGGAAGGTCTGAAGTCTGCTCAGGGACTTTGTTATTCCACGACTCTTTAAGACAACCCCTGATGTTGTGTAGCAACTTGATTTGAATCAAAATATTCTCTTCTGGAGCGAGGATCATTAGACGCAGGAAGTAAAGGAAACGGACATGGTCCAGGAAAGAAATTAATCTTAGAAGTTCTAATGCTGCAACATTTTAATACAGTTTCTCATGTTATGGTGACCCGAACCATAAAATTATTTTTTATTCCTGCTTCATAACTGTAATTATGCTACTGTGATGAGTCCTAATCATAACAGTTGATATTTCCTATGGTCTTAAACGACCCCAGAAAAAGATCATTTGATGGCCAAAGGGCTCGCGACCCACAGGTTGAGAACCACTATTTCAGCGTCTAGCAGCTTCTGAAATTGAGATTCACGGCGTCTTTCCCCAAAATTATATAAACAGTAACACTACCTAGGAGGGAAGATTCTCCAACAGGCCGAGCTGAAGGCGCCAGGAGGGGGGCTCTTCTGAGTCCTTACTGGTTTCTGGAGCAGCTGCTCGGAAACTAGCATACAGGCTGAGCCCTCCAAGACCAGCAACCAGAGAAGTAGTTCCGGGGCATTACGTTGGGAATTGCCTTGGAACCGAGAGTTCTGTTAGAGGCTGCGTTGTTGAATTCGGGGGAAAGTCGGGGCATGTGTTCCCAACTTGGCCAGCACATCAGAGGTGCTGAGAAACAACACCAAGGCATTCGAGAAAACAGGTGTTGCCCTGGTTCTTCAAGAGCTGCCAAGCGGCACTGGGTAGCCTGCAGAGAGCTGGAGCTGAAGTCTGAGAGAATACTCCAGTTCTGGGGTTCCCAGGGGCAGCGGTAGCTGCCCCTTACACAGTGCATCCTGCTTCACGATGCCACGCTCCGTGGCGGTAGTGGAGCACAGCCCTGGGAATCTGAGGTAAACTGATGGCTCCTTGGCCCTCGTTGCCTTCGCGGGAAGGCATGGGTATACTATTAATGTTTTTGAAAGATCTATTGGTGATGGTGACATGCTTCAGCAGGTAAAGGTGCTTGCCGTGAAAATTCGTTAACCGGAGTTTCACCCCCAGAATCCATGGAGCCGTAGAGAGAGAGAACTGTCTTCACAACCGTTGTTCTTTGATCTCCATGTGCACGCTGAGGGACACATCCTATTACATAGCAAATGATGTTGATGATGATGACAACAATGTTTTCATTTTATTATTTATATGTGCCTGAGTATAGGAATGTGCTTGTAAGTGCTGGTGCCTTTAGACGCAGGAAGAAAGCATCCGATCAGGATGTGGAGTTAAGAAATTTAGGAGCCATCCTACAAGAGCGCTGGACAGGGAAGGCAGGTCCTCTGCAAGACTACTATGTATTCTAACTTGCAGGGCCCTTTCTCCAGATCCTAATTAAAATTTCTTAACCAAAGAAGGGCTGAAACCAGGCATGGTGACTCACACCTAAAGTCCCCAGCACTTAGGGAGGTGGGAGTTGGAGGCTAGCCTTAACTATGTAGCAAGTTCAAAACTAACCAAGGCTACTTGAGAATTGGCTGCATGCCCCACCCCTACATACACAAAACAAACACATAAATAAAATCATTTAAAAAATGAGTTTTCACACTTAGGGATAGGATTTGGAACCTCATAAACAGACTGAGGACTCGAGAGATGGATTCATAGTTAAGAGTGCTTGCAGCTCTTGCAAGGGACATGAGTTTGGTTCCCAGCATGCATTTCAGGTACCTCATAACCACCTGTAACTCCAACTCCAGTAGATCTGAAAGCAGATACCCTCCTTTTTCTTTTAAAAACACCTGCATACATGCACAACTGCATATCCACCCACCCACACACATGGATTTTAAAAATACATCATAAAGAGAGAGACATGTTCATTTTGCTGTCTTGCTCTTTAAGCCCTGCATTTTGTGAGGCTGTTTTTGCCTCCTCTAGAACCAGTGCTGAAATGGAGTCAGAGAAAGGTGGCCCACCAAACCCTGAACCAAGAACCTTGGAGTTTCTGTTCTCAGAACTGTAACAAGAGGAAGTTAACTTTATAAATTAGCAAGTTATCATTATAGAAACAAAAATAAGCACAGAAGAGCGGATATTTAATTCTGAGAAAATGGGAGGAAGGAGTTGTTGGAAGTTTGAGATATTTTTGATTGATAAGCCAAGGAACTAACAAACATGAATTGGCATAGCCACGATGTACACAGTACTCAATGCGTACAGTCTGTGCTGGTTTGAAAGATGGACCCTATAGGCTCATAGGGAGTGACACTATTAGGAGGTGAGGCACGGAAGTAGGTGTGGCTTTGTTAGAGGAAGTGAGTCACTGGGGGTGGGGGTGGGCTCAAGCCATGTCTAGTATGACAGTCACTTCCTGCTTCCTGTGGATCAAGATGTAGAACTCACAGCTCTTTCTCCAGTACCATGTCTGCTAGCATGCTACCATGCTTACTACCATGACAACAAAACCTCTGAACTGTAAGCCAAGCCCCAATTAAATGTTCTCCTTTGCAGGAGATGTGGTCATGGTGTCTCCTCACAGGAAAAAAAAAAGGAAAAAAACAAATAAATAAAGTACTTAGGACAGGTGCTTCAAAATCTAACAACCACCTCACTACTGTAAACAAATAAACAAACAACAAAATCACAACTGTGCACCAGATCACAAAGCAGTAAAGGAGGATAAAAATTCACAAAAATGAGTGACATACTTACAAATAGAAGCCACCTATTATTATCTAGCATGCAAAATTAATAGGCATTAAGGCAGAACGGAAAGAAATGACAATTTTCCCATTAGAAACAAAGATAGAACATGCAAAATACACAAGTGACAACCAGAACCTGCCCTTGAGGCCAGTAACCAAATCTCAACCATCAGCAAAGTTTCATTTTAATCAAAGAGTAATTTTGAAAACATACACTCACTAAACTAAGTGCTTATTTGTATCACTTTCCATGCACCCATGAACCTAACTCACTTAAATGAAATGAAAAACGGTGGTGGTGGCAAAGGCCTGTAATGCCAAGAGACAGAGGCAGAGGTGTCACGTGACAGAGGTGTTATTTCCAGGGGAGATGCAGCGCACGTGCCGACTTACTTCAGGCCTGGAGCACAGAAATTTCGGGTACCACTGAAGTTCTACTTAGTGAACCAGTGAGTGTAATTGAGGATCTTTACAGAAGTACAAGTGAGGGCTTACTGACCAGTGCAGAAGTGACTTGAAAAGCAGCTGTATAACCAAAGCCCACCCAGCATGGGTGAGAGCTCATGGAAACTGGGAATGTAGAGCACACTGCACAGCCTGTAGACAACAGCTTGAACAATAGCCATTCTTTGTGGGAGGGGAGGAGAAAGGGTTTATTTGGTTTACACTGCCAAATCACAGTCCATCCCTGAAGGAAGTTAAGACAGGAACCAAGCAGGGCAGGACCCTCATGCAGGAGCTGATGCAGAGGCCATTGAGGGGGGTTGCTTAATGACTTGCTCCTCAGGGCTTGCTCAGCCTGCTTTCTTAAATATTTTTTTTCTCTTGTTTTTATTGAGCTATATATTTTTGTCCATTCCCCTCCCTTCCTTTCTGCCATCTCCCATGAGCCCCGTGTTGCCAATTTACTCAGAAGATCTTGTCTTTTTCTACTTCCCATGTAGATCCATGTATGTCTCTTTTAGGATCCTCATTGTTGTCTAGGTTGTCTGGGATTGTAAATTGTAGGCTAGTTTTTCTTTGCTTTATGTCTAAAAAGCCACTTATGGATGAGTACATATTATATTTGTCTTTCTGGCTCTGGGTAACTTCACTCAATATGATATTTCTAAATCCATCCATTTGCCCACAAATTTCAAGATGTAATTCATTTTTTTCCATTATGTAGTACTCCATTTGATGTGGGAATCTGTGTGGTGTAATTAGCATTAATGAATAAAGAAAGTGCCTTGGCCTGTTGATAGGAGAGAACATAGGTAGGCGAGGAAGATGGAACTGAGGAGACACCATGGATCCACAGCCTGAGACAAACGCTGGTTAGAATATTTGCAGGTAAGCCACTGTCACGTGGCAATACACATAAATGGCTTTTAGATATAAAGCAAATAAAATCCAGCCTACAATTCACAATCCCAGAGAACCTAGACAACAAAGAGGACCCTAAGAGAAACATACATGGATCTAATCTTAAGTAGAAAAAGACAAGCTCTCCTGAGTAAATTAGGAGCATCTGTACCATGGGAGGGGGTTGAATGGGAGAGGAGAAGCAGTGAGGGGAGCATAGAAAAATAGCTCCATAAAAACAATTTTAAAAAAAGAACAGTGAGTGCTCTTAAGTACTGAACCATCTCTTACCCCCTCCTTATGACATTAAAAGAATGATTGAATCATTCACCTTCTGCCTCGTCACTGCTCTCCTGCTGCCACCTCTAGTTTCTCTTTATAATTCTCCAAGTTTAATGTTCGATGTATCCTTTGCTCCTCCCCATCCTTCCTCAAACAAAAACTCTATGTTGTGTGCCATACGCAGTTCTTAGAATGTAATGGTCAATTTGTTGTTGTTTTTGTTGTTGTTGTTTTGACAGGATCTCATTGTGTAGCTCTAGATT